TCATCCAGGTCATGGTTGTCCCAAAGGTGCTTTTTCCAAAAAGTAACTAGACTTTCTTGGGTTTTTTTCCTTGAAAATGTTTTGCTCCTCATCCAAGAAGCTTCTTCGGTTCATAATGTTTCGCTTCTCATCCAAGTTCATAACTGAAGAAACTGCTTGGATGAGAAGTGAAACGTTTTCAAAGGAAAAATAAACAAGAAAATCCAGTTACCTTTTGGAAAAAAGCTCCTTTGGGTTTACAAGGCATTGCTTACCCCAGAATACATTCTCATGAGATCCATAAGGCTCACTTTCAAACAAAGGGTCATGGCAGCATTCTCCAATCTGATGCTTCTAGATGTGCTATATCAAACTCTATTAAGTCCAGCCAGGATGATGTTTGACTACTGAATGTGCCTCAGAATAGAGGGGGCTGAAATTCAACACACATGAAGCACCAGGTTGGGTTAGATCAGGGGTGTCAAACCCAAGGCCCACAGGCTGCATCCAGCCCACAGGGTGCTTAGATCTGGCCCATAGGGCTGCCCTGGAAACAGCGAAGGACCAGCCTGTGGTACCTCTGCCAGCAAAAACAGAGCTCGGGAAGGCTGCGTGCGACCCTTCTGAGCTCCGTTTTCATGGGCACAGGGTTGCAGGAGGCCGTCACAGCCAAAAACAGAGCTCGGGAGCCCGTTTTCACTGGCAGAGCACTCAGGCCGCCACAGGCGTCCCCGAGTGATATCAAGCTGGCCACGCCCACCCCGGCCTCCCAGAGGTCAAACACAACCTTAAGGCGGCCCTCAATGAAATCACGTTTGATACCCCTGGGTTAGATGATCGTTACCTTGATCTTAACTGTCTCAGTTTAATTGGATTTTCTTGTTCACTATGAATAAAGGATTGTGACTGAAGCTTTATACCCATCAGATCTTGTAAACTTTAGAGACTGATACCATTTTATAAAGTAACCAGCTTCAACATGTTTTACTTATCCAGTTTAGAAATGATTAAAAATTCAATGAAAAGGGAAGGCCTCTCTTCTACATATACAGAAACTCATTACATGCAAAAGACCTGGAAAGACCTGTTGCTTGTGACCTCAGATAGTAGAAGAATGCAAGATTCAGCTTGCAACTCCATGTAGTAAGAAGAATAAAAGGTGAAGTCTACATGCTTTGAATGACAAGGGCTAAAGCAGGTACTTACAAATGGAATACAAGGATTGGCCTAGGAGAGGCATTTCAGATCAACCCAACTGCATCGCTTAATGATGGAAGCTGCGGTCCCAATTATGGTCATAAATCAGAGGATTACCTGTATTTTTACAGAACCTTGAAGAAGGTCAGAGTTTCTCTCTGTTCCATGTTATGCCCAACAGAAACATGTCAGGGATAGATTGACTTCCTTTCTCACACTTTTTTACTTTTTCACAACTGCCGTTGCCCTTCCTTTAACACTGCATTGCTCTTTTCCCACTTCTCAAGACCAGATATACAGTCTTTCATAACATCACATGGATGGAAAGAGGAGTGGGGTTTTGACTACCCAGTGGAGCCCGCCATTTTGAAGTTGCCAATTATCCCTACGGGTACCCTTATAATATAGCAATAGCACTTATACTTATATACTGCTTCACAGGGTTTTACAGCTCGCTTTAAGTGGTTTACAGAGTCAGCCTATTGCCTCCAACAATCTGGGTCCTCATTTTACCGGCCTTGGAAGGATGGAAGGCTGAGTCACCCTTGAGCTGGTGAGAATTGAACTGCTGAACTGCTGGCAGCCAGCAGTTGGCAAAAGTAGCCTGCACTACTGTATTCTAACCACTGCGCCACCAAAAATAATCCTTTGTGAATTAATGATGTCTGTCCACAGGTTGATTAAGGCAGATCATAAACTATGTTTATCAAAGTTGAGAATTTCTAGCCATTTCCAACCCTTATAAGAACTTGAATTCTTCATCGTAATTGGAAAACATCTGGCTGAAAAAGGTGATTTAAGATCTCGGGCAGTCATTCCAAACAGCTACCTAGAAATCTCACTTATAGATGAAAGAATAGAAGCCGAATGGCCAAAATACCTTAAGAGGTTCATGGCTGAGCAGCAACCAGGATGAAAAAAACAAATCAATGCCTGAGACACTTTCTCATTTAAAAAGAATTATAGGCCTACTTTTATTATTTCTAAAATGCACAACTGATCTTGCTTCACTCAATCATGCATTAAAATTGTTTTCCTGTTAACAGCAAAAGACTCAAAACACCTAGCTTCATCTCAGTGAAAAAGAGACAAATGAATTCAATTTGACACAAACCATCAATACTGGGCAAGAAGCCATGTCTATAATTATGAACATCAAATATGTCAAAATCTCAGTGTTGTGAGGTGTTGCCTGGGAACCAGGGGTGCAATGCTCCCGGTTCGGACTGGATCGCCTGATCCGATAGCGATGGCGGCGGGTGGTTCGGAGAACCAGTAACAAAAATTCCTGCGCACCCCACCCCCCACGCCCAGCTGAGCCGCGCGATCATCAGAGGCTGTTTTTTTAACTTTTAAAAGCATTTTTTCTACAACCTCTTCGGCTGAAAAAATGCTTTTAAAAGTTAAAAAAAAAAAAGCCTCTGATGATCGCGCGGCTCAGCTGGGATCGTCAGAGGCTTTTCAAAGCATTTTTTTCTGCAACCCCTTCAGCCAAAGAGGTTGTAGGGGAAAAAATGCCTTTAAAAGCCTCTGGCAATCCCAATTGACTTGCCTGTTCGTCGGAAGTTTCTAAAAGCATTTTTTTCTGCAACCTCTTAAGGTTGTAGAAAACATGCTTTTAAAAGTAAAAAAAAAAAAAAAGTTGTCCACGCCAACCCAGACACATTAACCCCCCCAAGCCACGCCCACAGAACCAGTAGTAACAAATTTTAGATTTCACCCCTGCTGGGAACCACAGCAAGAGCCAAGACTGGGTTTATTCTTATCTCTGGGATCTTTGAAGAGAGTAATAAGCAACTGTTTTATTAAGTCAAGACAAGTCTCAGAAACTTTTGAAGAAGTTTGCCCATCCACTTATAGCCATGATGGCGAACCTATGGCACGCGGAGCCATATCTATGGGCACGCGAGCCATTGCCCCAGCTCAGCTCCAGCACGCATGTGTGCGTCAGCCAGATTTTCAGCTGGCCCTGTCCATGCCACCCCTCCCCTCCGAGGAGTCTCCACGCGGCCCATTTTGGATGCCAGGTAAGTACAGGGCTCGCACGGAGGCTCTGGAGGAGTCTCCGGGGGGCGGGGAAGGCTGTTTTTGCACTCCCCAGCTCCAAGAAAGCCTCTGGAGCCTGGTGAGGATGAAAAACAGGCCTTCCGGGGCCACCAGAAGTAAGGAAACAGGCCATTTCCAGCCTCCGGAGGGCCTCTGGGGGGACAGGGGAGTCGTACATTCATGCGCGGAGGGCATAGAATTATGGGTGTGGGCATGCGCAGGCGTGACACCCCCGTGCTCTCCCCGCTTTTGGCACATGACAGCAAAAAGGTTAGCCATCACTGTCTTATAGAAATAGCAATAGCACTTAGACTTATATACCGCTTCATAGTGCTTTACAGCCCTCTCTAAGCGGTTTACAGAGTCAGCATATTGTCCCCAACAATCTGGGTCCTCATTTTACCAACCTCGGAAGGATGGAAGGCTGAGTCAACCTTGAGCCTGGTGAGATTCGATCTGCCAAACTGCTGGCAGCCAGTGATCAGCAAAAGTAGCTTGCAGTACTGCACTCTAACCACTCCACCACTGCGGCTCATTTGCTACAAATAATGATGGAAATATCAGGTAACAGAACCATCCCCCCTTTCTCTCCTCCTGCCAGGCCGGAAAGGTTGGGGATCTCTGTGCTATACAATATTATTATTATTACCTCTCCTCTCTAAAGCCTAGAGAAATATTTCTAAATATTTCTTCCTTTCCAAAGCAGGTACAGTAGCCGGCACAATGCCAACTTTTAATAGAGAAATTTAGCATAAAGTTAACAAACATGAGGAATAAAACTTTCAACCAGAAATTAATTTTGTATATTTGCTCAGTTCACAAAACAAAATATATGTTCTTTGTATGTACGCTGAGAGCTTATGCAACAGAGATAAATTACTTGTGTATCCAATTACACTCGGCCAATAATGAATTCTATTCTGTTATTTGTTCACAGTTGTGTTTATATGCATTGAGATTCCTCAATGTTTCACCTCTACATTCAGATAGAAGATGATAAAGGTCTGGGGGTTTCAGTTTTGGGGGGGGGGGGAAAGACAGAATGAATACAAGAGTTTGACCTCTGAGATTACTTTTTACATTACGAACTTTAAATAAAGGAGGTGTGGTTGCCTCAGGCTTTGCTTCTTGAAACAGTTCCAAAACATGTCATCAGCATGTCAGATTTCCAAAGCCTTTAGATGGGAATGCATATCCTTGGTTTGTTTTTTTTTCCCCAATGCACCTTTTTAAAATGCTGGAACTAAAAGTTACTACTGGTAGTTTATCCTTTGACCTTCTCCATGTTCTCTAATATATTCAGGTCTTCAACCAGTGGTAGGTTAAATGAACCTATCTCCTAAATGATAATCCAGACATCTCCCTTAATCAGGGGAGATTAATTAAGCAGGTTCCGACAGGTTCTGGAGAACCGGTAGCGGAAATTTTGAGTAGTTCAGAGAACCGGCAAATACTACCTCTGGCTGGCCCCAGAATGGGGAGGGAGTGGGGATTTTGCAGTTTCCTTCCCCTGGAGTGGGGTGGGAATGGAGATTTTGAAGTATTCTTCCCCTGCCAATCCTACCAAGTCACGCCCACCAAGCCACACCACGCCCACCAAGCCACGCCCACAGAACCGGTAGTAATTTTTTTTTTATTTTACCACTGACCCTAATCGTAACCATAACCATTTCTACATGTTGTATTACATATTCAAATTTTCTATCCTTTGTATTATTTTCCATCCCATGTGGACTTACTCCAACACACCCACCTTGAAGCTAAAATCTAGGCTTTACCTTTTCGGAGTAACTCGTGAAGGCTTTCAGCACTTTGATTCAGCACAGCCCATATTTCTTCTTCTTGTAGTGGTCCACCCCGAACTTCCAGGGCTTCAGCTAATGACACGTGCATTTTATCTGAGAAAGCAAAACAAGACAATCCTGGTTCAAGAAGGCATCGGTACTTTCTTTCCATTCAGGCATTTGTACTAAATGTAGGACAAATTTTATTCTAAGGCAACAGCCATGTGGATGGACACAACCAGAACTCCAACTTGCCTTGCTTCCACATTAAATTTATAACAAATCATTACATATATATTTTGGTCTTTCTCCCATCAAAGCTCTCACATAAATTCAGAAACTATAATGTTATGATTATCACAAATCTGAAACCTGATTTAAGAGGTAGACCTGATCCATGATTCTTCCTTCTTCTAACCATCTGATCTCTGGGTCTTCTGTGACATTTGTGAGGCTTCTGCTTGTGAAATTCTGATCTCCGGACTGGCTAACAACCCTGACATGACTCTTGAAATTTGGACTGGATTGTGACTATTCTTCTGCGTGTTCCTGTTAAAAACAAAGCCACTGAGGCAAGCTTCTTTTTCCTGAGACTCTGCTTTGGTTTACATTCCTTATCTGCCATTACCTCCTTGACCTTGAGTAAACTGCTAATTTCCATATTCACCACATGTGTTATATATATTTGAAACCAGAAGCAGGATATGGTTCACACTCGTGTTACTGTGGGCACATTGCAACAACCAGAACTCTTGAGGATCAGTTGTAACTGCCATTTTTTCAGTACTATCATAAGTTTGAAAGGTCATTGAATGAGTGGTCATAACCTGAGGACCACCTGTACATCATTTTCTATCATCAAGCATTATGTACACTCTTGTAAATGTATTTTTGTAATTATAAGTTGAAGAAACATATACATATACAGAGAAAAAAGACTAAAATCCCTGTGGGTATCTAAGAAATCCCCAATCCATATAACTAGAAGAAAAAATATATATGCATGAGATAGGAGATATCCTATCACATGCAATACAAATAAAAAAGAACACTGAAATGTAAATGGAAAACATATTTTAGTGGACTTCAACTTTATATGCTCACAGTAAAAATAGCTGAGTTTCTTACATAATGATAGTCAGAAGAAAATAGCAAAAGGGTTAGGAGAAGAATAAGTACAAGCATGAACTTTTTAAAATCAAAATATATTGTAAAAGGGATAGAGAAGCCAAAACAGTACAATGAGAATTCAGCATGTCCTGTGACCATCAAATACTGAAAGGATTCGAATATTCTTAAAAAATGGTACACAACAGTGAAAATGTTATCGCAGTGACTTTTGTAAAAACTGACACAACCGCAAACTGTTTTTTTACACAAGTGTGGGAGTGAGAGGCTTCTATCTAATCTGTCTGAATCTGGGACCGGGTCCTGCTATACTGGTATTTCTCAACATAAAAGGTTAAGCTCATGTAACAAAATACAAGTAAAAGCTTCTGTTTAAAAATTCAAGCTCACTAAAAATGCCTGAAGCAGTTTCATACTCAGTTGTAATCCCATCAATATGAACTGCCAAGAATTGTGTGTCACAGACCTGCAGAAAGAACTATGTAGCGGTACAGATGTCTGGGAGATAAAACATCAAGTTGACAGTGCCACTGATTTCTTAAGAACCTTTCATTTTAATCCATAAATTTACTTTGACAATGCTTTATTTGCTCTGATAGTGAATTCAAGAAAAGCAATACATACAGATAGTAGAATATAATCGTGGCTATTACAGATGCTGTTGGGAGAAAATCACAGAAAACACTGGAGAATTGAAGGGCAAAAGTGTCTTAAAAATGATGGAGGAAGAGGGGAGGAGGAGGAGGAGGAGGAGGAGGAGGGGGGGGGGGGGATAGTATGATCCAGAGGAGGTTTTCAGCAGGTTCTGACTAGTTCTGGAGAACCGGTAGCGGAAATTTTGAGTAGTTCGGAGAACCAGTAAATACCACCTCTGACTGGCCCCGTCCCCATCTATTCTCTGCCTTCCGAGTCCCATCTGATTGGGAGGAAATGGGGATTTTGCAGTAACCTTCCCCTGGAGTGGGGAGGGAATGGAGATTTTAAAGTAGCCTTCCTCTGCCACGCCCAGCAAACCACACCATGCCACACCCACCAAGCCATGCCCACAGAACCGGTAGTAAAAAAAATTGAATCCCACCACTGATATGATCCTATTCTTACGCTCCTAAAACAATCAGACTCTGCACAATGAGAAGAGAGTGTTATCTTTATAATGTTCCTCAGAATATTGCAGCCATGCTATTTCTGATCTCCAAAGCACAACTTCATCATTGTCAAATCCACAAATATGTCATGAAATTGTATTCTATTCCCCCCACCCCATAGATACATGAATTTCCCTGCTCCTTGCAGGATATTTAAACAAAGACAAACACTGTGATGCTGTAATTTCATAACATGGTTTCAGGATTCCAGAAATTAGCTGACATTTGGATAGCCCGCGGAATTATAAGGGACATGAAAGGTAAGTGAATCAGGGGAAGTCAAACTACAGAGAAAATCTAGAGAAAGGCTTGAATGCCCTACTGTAAGAAAGGTAATGAAATGATTCATAGAAAAATGTCCGGGTCCAAATTGTATGCAATATTAATTGTATGTGAACGTTTCACATGCACTTTTTAAAAGGATGCGGTGGAAAGGAAATGAACAAAATTAAGACCAAGGCATGTTGGGTTAGTTTACTTCTTTCCCTATCCACTGTAATCCTTTCAGAAATGTGTATGCTACCCAAACTGTTATTAGCCAGAGGAAGAAAGATTTTGCTGGTGTCAGCAGGAATTCCTTCCCAAAGCTAATTATTGCTGGATAAGTAGTTTACAGTAGGACTGTGGCACATGAGGAAATGATTAAAGCAGGAATGATCGTTGTGGGGACCTCCAAATCTTGTGGATTTCCAGAAGAACCAATGATGCCAACAAGAGGGTTTGTTGCTCAAAAAATATGTTATGATCACATGGGTTTTACCCTGGGTAAAAAGCGTCCATGCTTACTTATTTCAAAAGAGGACATTTATTGTTTCTACAGATTTCATAGCAACTGTAGTTTAGTTTAGTTCCCAAACAATACAAAATATACGGCGTTAGAAAGAGTACAAAGAAGGGGGACCATAAGGAACAAAAAGCGGGCAGACAGTCATCCATATTTATGCTGTCCACTACTCTTGAAAGCAACCCAAAAAGAAAGAAAAATCTCATTGTGCAATTATTCTTTCAATTTTGAAAGATGTTATCCAATCTAAAATCATAAAACTGGTTATTACCCTCTTGTTATCTTTCTCTTAGTTATACCAAAAACCACTGGATTGCTGGTTTCGCAATGAGTGGAGGGTTGAAAATTGAACTCATATACTGGTCCCTAATCTAGACATGACCTGCCATGAGAGTAACAAAAGAAATCCCTTTGTCGTTTGTCAAACATCATGCCCACACTAAGATCCCTGACCTGTTGCCTCCTGACTATGACAGATTAGAAGTTAGAATTCCTTCTCACAATCCTACCTTTCTTTCACTTTCTCTTCTAGCCAAAGTCTAACTCAGGGGTGTCAATCTCAAGGCCCACGGGCCGGATCCGACCCCTGGGGTGCTTAGATCTGGTCCGTGGGACCAGTCTAGAAGTAACAAAGGACCGGCCTGTGGTGACTCCCCCGTGCCCCATTTTCGATGATGGCCTCCTGCATGTGCACCCCCTCTGCTCCATTTTTGCTGGCAGAAGACTGCAAGAGGCCGTCGCAGCCAAAGACAGGGCGGTTGCACAGGGGCCCCCTGGCCCCGTTTTTGCTGGCAGAGGGTTGTAGGAGGCCATCACGGCCAAAAACAGAGTATCGGGGGCCACATGCGGTCCCTCCGGGCTCCGTTTTTGCTAACAGAGGGCTAGCAAAACAAAGTAAAAACAAAACAAAACAAAAGGAGAAATGTTTCCCCTTTTGCATTTGAGCATGCAAGAAGGGACAGGAAAGGAGAAAGGGAAAAAGGAAAGACAAAGCAAAAGAAGGAAAGATGGGAAGAAAGCAAGGAAGGAAATATAAGGAAAGAGGAGAAGGAAAAAGAAGAGGAAGGAAGGAGGTTATAATGAGAATGAGGGAGGGTCTCAGGGAAGTCCTTCCTTAGCACTTGGCCACCACAGGTGCCCTAAACATGAGTGACGTTGAGCTGGCCACGCCTACCCACGGCCTTGTGAGGCCAAACACAACCCTGATGCGGCCCTCAATGAAATCCAGTTTGACACTGCTGGTCTAGATTGAGTCTATAGTCAGCTGGAATAAAAAAAAAATCAATGAAAGAGAACCGCAGTCCTCGTGCATTTGGTTGAGCATGTTGACTTATTCTTATATAGTAGATTAGCTAGTTTCCTTAATATTAAGTTGAGTATTATGTAAACAGACTTTGAATGCCCTATTCTCTCTTTGAAAGACTTAAATGTTATAGTGAGGTCACTCCAATTAATGGCTCAACTTTTGCCTGTCAAAATTCACCAAGTTTTCTGCTTTCACAGCAAACTGATTCACACCATTCAATCTTTCACACCAAACTGATTTCACAATGGATATCCTCCACAAACCACACCTCTTTTTCTTCCCTTCCCAGATTCAACCAGCTGAACTTGTTTCTCTGATATATCGTGTGAAACCAAACCAATCTCCCATTGCACAAATGGCAATCAAACTTTTTTAAGAGGAAAAAAGAGAGAGAATTTGGAACACATCCTTCTTCAGAGGATGAATTCAGCAATTTTCCTTGCTTAGGCCTGATAAATAAAGATGAGAATTAAGTTTAATCCATGTAATACAAATATTTATTACCATCATAAACCAGCATAAATCTATTAAAACAATTAATGATTTTAAAACCTAGTACAAAAGTTAAAAAACATGTTAAAAACTATAAAACTGAATTAAAACATTTTTAAAACTACGTACAACATCTATAAAATGGGATAAAAATATTAAAAATAAAAACAAAGTTAATATATGACTAACTAAAGCTATCATAATACAAATTACTCTTGACTAACAAGTGAAATACTCTTCAAATTAATTGTTTGTATTA